AATACCACTGACTGTGAAATTGCCTGATTTTTATCGGGGATGTTGGGAGGCAGCTGTGCAACAATCCGCTGCCCTAATCTGGAGGCTGTGGAGACGGGAACCAGGCGAGGAAATGTGCCTTACGTGCCCAAGAAAGTAGCGTTGTGTAGGGTTGTGGACTACTTACTCCTGATAAGTTATCCCGATGTTGTTCCAGCAGCGTGGAACAGGTTCAGCACACAAGTGAGGCGACAGTTTTTGCTCTTTAAGTCTCCGCTGATAAAAAAAAACCATCACTTAGTGGCTGAACATTGTTATTGATGCGTTGACTGTTTAATCCCACCTGTCCACCTAACCAAGCCTGATGCTGGGAAATAAACATGTCCAATATCTCAGCCTGATTGCTTCAATCTTTATCACCCGAAACGCAAAAGGTGGGCGATGGAGTTTCTGCCGTGTCTTGTTGTGTGTTTGTGTGTCTGTTAACAAATCTCTTGTGAAACTGCTGGACAGATGTTAATGAAACTTTAAAATATCAGGGATCAAGGCAGGGTGGTGGACCGCCATTAACACTGAGCCTTAGCATTCAAACTCACATTTCAACCTAAGCTGTCTTTTTACTTCATACTTAAATTAAATTTGAGCATAAATGCCAAAAACATACCAAAATTCAAACTTTTCCATCCCATGTGTTCGTTTGACCACAATAAAACGTTTAGCTTTTCTGGGTAGGGAAGGTCAGAATCACAGAAACAACACATTTTAGGTAACTGAAGAAAAACAATGYAGCAATTTGTTGCATTTAAGCTGATAAAAAGGACATATTTACAGGTTATTTGTGCTTTGTTCTGTTAACCAGGTGAAATTATTTTAAGTTTAGATCATTTCAGTGTTTATAAGACATTTTTGTTKTAAAGTAGATACACTATGAGGTAATGAAATACTGTTGCTCTTTGTTGTTGTGCTGCCAAAAAAAACACTGTACGTCTGATAAATGCTTAGAAATACTTAACTGTTGATGCTTGATGTGGTGCTGCCTAGAAATACCAYACAGTTGATGTTAGATGTTTAGAATACTGCTCAGAAATACTGTGTAGTTAATCTTTAACACTTAGAAATGMCATGCGGTTGATCTTTCATGTTACGCTGCTCAGAAATACCGTGGTTGATCTYKAATACTTAGGRGTACTGTACTGTTAACACTKTGAAAAACCGTACYGTTGATCTTCAATGTGATACTGCTCAGAAATACTTTACGGTTGATTTTTAATACTTAGAAATACTGTACTGTTTCTGACTGGTCACTGAGTGTGTATATATGTCTGTGTGTATATACTGACAATATTTATGAATGTAGGCATGTATGTATGTATGTATATCTTTATATATGTATGGGTATGTGTATAGTTTTATATATGCCCTCCATGTATTTATCCATTTATTTTTCAGGTGAGCGGACAGATGTTGGGTGTGTGGTCCTGTGTTTTGTTGGTGTATATTTAATATACTTCTAATCACAATTTCAATCTTTCTATCTTTCTAATTACTTCTCTCTGTTTTTCTCTCTGTCTCTATTTTCTCTTCACTTAATATAAAAAAGTCACTGATGATGAAGAAATAAATAAACTAAATAAACTAATATTTGGTTTCGTTTTCTACTGAAGTGACACACAAAAAAAGAAATACTGTACTGTTGATCTTCAATGTGATACTACTCAGAAATACTTTACAGTTAATCTTTAATACCTAGAAATACCGTACTGTTGCTCTTCAACGTGACACTGTCCAGAAATACTTTCCTTAGAAATCCCACAATGTGACACTGTTCAGAAATACCACACGGCTGATATGTTGTTGTGAGGTCTGCTCAGAAACATGTTTGGTGTGGGCGCTAACAAACCTGTGATGTTCTCTGTGTCTCTTTACAATCAGGGAATCATCCCTTAGATGTTTGCATACGTGATGAAGATCCCAGGCCTTATTTTCTTCCTCCTTTTTTTTTCTCTCCCTATGTTGCTGTTTCTGTTGTGAAATCCCCCCCTCAGCAGGTGGCGGGCAAACATATGCCTGAGATGCCACGGGGTGCTGAAGCCGGATCATCTCCAAAGGCTAACTGGCAGGTCTAAGCAGGGCCGGGCGTTAATGCATATTATTCACAAAGAGCATGATTGAAGAGAAAAATGTGCCCGGCGTGTACCCAGCTGCTCCGTTGGCACGCCGCTCCCTCAGCCTCTGCCTGAGTTTTTTAAGAGCGGCGCTCGGATTCAGCCGCGCATTCACCGAATTCCCCATGCAGCTCCTATTCATTCAGTCATCCATTCACCGAGCCACAGGCAGGGCAACAAACTGGTGTCTGTGTGAGAGAGACTCTGTGCCCTGAATGGTTTCATAAATGACAGCAAATTCAGATTTTTAACATGTATATACGGTGAGGGCCTCCGTTTGTGTGAATCATCCAGGTGCTCGCACCGTGGGAGCCGAACAAAACAAGTCTCCTTTACCCCTCTGTGAACGTCCCCCATTCAATATGGCAAGCAAACAAGTCACTTTTACATTTTTTCATTTGATTTAATTTAATTGGTTTTGACATATTTCAGCTGATGTGCTCGCCGGCGTGATGCTTCCTGTTTGCAGCATGAAGCTCCTCAGCCTCCACGTGAAAWTTTTTTGTTGTTGTTGTTGTTTATTCAGACACTCGTATGCAGATATTTTTCCACTGCTTGCCTCTTGGCCTACAGGAGGTCAGCAGGTGCTTCTGTGCTCAGCAGATGGTTTGTTTGCTTCAGTCGTTCAGTTTGATGGTCATTTTTAGACAAATGGCACCCTCTAGAGGAGACAAATCTAAAGTTCTCCAGTCCAAAACATCTAGAAAAAACTTTATTTAGAGGCATAACTATTTATAATTTCACAAAATCATTCACAGAATAAAATACATTGTATTGATGTTTGATTATACATTTTTATTTTAATGATTTGATTAGGACTGAAGGGATAGTGCAGATCTGTTGAAATGGAGTTCTTATATAGTAACTGATGGGGTAATAAAACTGATAAGATATAAAATGTTACAGAAAATTATTTTACATGAACAAGCGTTCATGGTTTGTCAGCTTTCCAAAAAATCTGCAAAACGAAAACAAATTAAGTTGAATATATTTATTTTACAACCAAGTCAAACTTATTTTCAGGGGGAATGTACCTGCTGCACTCTGTGAGTTTTGCTGTAAGATTCAGAGTCGGCTCGTTGGTTCCCTCTCTGACACTGATTCACTGTAAARTATGGAGGTAAGGAGATTTTACAGAAAAAGAAAATTAAAATTCTCTGGGGAAATAGGGTTGGGCGATTTTGGCAAAAAAAAAAAAATCACAATTGTGGTATTTAGCCGATAACGATTAATATGACAATTAATCCCCTGGAGTCCCTGGACGCCCTCATATCCTAGTCACATGACAAATTTAAATCATTCTAGTGGGAAAGATTTGCTCTCCGTAAAAATCTGTTCCCAATTGTGTCAAAAGAACAGACTTCAGGCCATGGGTCCATTTTTAAATTGTGTTGATAGACTAAGTAAAATCAGAGGTATGATAAATAAATTAAAGAATATATTATTATATAATTAATTTAAATTTTTTTTCATATTTGAAGGGGAGAGGAGCATCGAGCGGACTGACTGGGGAAATCTCCAGTCTGTCTGGTGGCATTAATCTTATTAATTGCCAAGTGCCAAAAAATAATCGATTACTTTTTTTCTGGTAATTAATTGCACATGATATGATTTTGCCCAACTATAGTTCTCCTGTACCTATGTTCCCTGGTACCATGTTCTCCTGTACCTATGTTCCCCATTGCCTATGTTCTCTTGTATGTATGTTCCCAAGTACCTACGTTTCCCAACCAATACCTATGTTCCCTGATACTAATATTTCTCAGCCAGTACCTATGTTCTAATACAGTACCTAAATTTCCTACCTGTGTTTTACAGTACCTAAATTTCCAAGTACCTATGTTCCCTGGTACATATTTTCCATGGTACTCATGTTCCCCAATACCTTTGTTCTACAGTACCTAGGTTCAACAGTACCTAAATTTCCTGGTACCCATGTTACCTGGTATCCATCTTCTCCAGTACCTACGTTTCCCAATCAATACCTATATTTCCTGATACCAATATTTCTCAGCCTGTACCCATGTTCTACAGTACCTAAATTTCCTACAACCTGTGTTTTACAGTACCTAAATTTCCTACCTGTGTTTTACAGTACATAAATTTCCAAGTACCTATGTTCCCTGGTACATATTTTCCATGGTACCCATGTTCTTCTGTACCCATGTTCCCCATTACCTTTGTTCTACAGTACCTATGTTCAACAGTACCTAAATTTCCTGGTACCCATGTTACCTGGTGTCCATCTTCCCTAGTACCTAAGTTCCACAGCCAGTTCCTATGTTCCCCAGCCAGTATCTATGTTCCCCAGCCAGTTCCTATGTTCCCCAGCCAGTACCTTTGGTCCCCAGCCAGTTCCTATGTTCCCCAGCCAGTACCTCCCCAGCCAGTTCCTATGTTCCCCAGCCAGTATCTATGTTCCCCAGCCAGTTCCTATGTTCCCCAGCCAGTTCCTATGTTCCCCAGCCAGTTCCTATGTTCCCCAGCCAGTTCCTATGTTCCCCAGCCAGTACCTATGTTCCCCAGCCAGTTCCTATGTTCCCCAGCCAGTNATTTAAAGCGTGAGCCAAGGATATTTCATAACTTTCATTATACTTGGGAGAACAAAGCTTTCTGGAGAACATAGATGTGGACCGGGTAATTTGACTAAACACCATTTCCCTACCAAAATCATTTTCTAATACTGTATCTGCAGGAACTACAGTTATAAAGGTCTTCTGTGTTCATTTGAAGAACCATTTTAAATACTTACTTGGCATCTGATGAGCATTGTWKATTTTATCTGCAGGGAGAGAAGAAACATTCACATGTATCAGGGAGTAACTTAAACATCGGGACGCTCTGCCTTTTTAGACCTCACATTTCTAATTTACCGTAGACGTCGTCTCTGTTGTTGACCATGTTGGCTCTCAGGGGACTCTGCTTCTCCTATGGTGGCAAACACCAGGGCTTTAATCCAAAAACACACCTTTTGAACCTTTAACTAACCTTTTGCTAACCTCGTCCACAGACAGGGAACTGGTCTTCATCCTCTGCTGGAGCTCGATGAGTCGATCGAGGCTGGGCATCCGGTTTGGTACAAACGTGTCGTAGGTGGAAGTGGTGCTGCTTTCTTGCTTATGTCCTGCAATAAACGACAACAAAAATACACAGTTTAGCCAAGCTGACTACATGTGGATTTAAAAGTTAAATCTTGATATATTCAGAAGAACAAGAAAAATCACTTTGTAAATGTACACGTGGAAGGATTTTATTTTTATATCTTTCTATCCTTCTTGGGACCTAACTGTGTTAGCGTGTTCTTAACCAGTGGTGGATACAGCTAATTAATAAGTTAACTTTGCTAACTTATAATCTAACTAAAATATAGCATCRTCTACATTAAACCTCTAAACATATTTATAAAAAGTCAAAAAAAGAAAGTGTGGATGCTAACACCAAACAGCTAAACAAGTAAAAGTTTGCTGACAACGCGTCACCTGTTAATGTTAGTTTGTTAGATAATTGGTCTGCTGTCGGTTTTCATAGTTAGTGAAAAAGCTAATCGGCTAAAGGAAAAATTAGTTCTGCTTTTAGCCATTAGCCAATTAGTGGACCTATGTCCACCACTACATTTAATCCATAGCATTTTTATTTTTTTTGTGTCCATATGGTGGCTTATAAACCATGCTTTGGTGGGCAGTTCTTGTATCTGTGTCCATTTTTCTCTCTATTAGCAAAATATCTTATGAGCCACTGGTTGGAGTTTATTTCAAGAGACAGTCTTATTCAAGATGGCTGCCATCGCTAATCAAACTAGTAAAAATGACTATAACTTCTATGAGGCTTTTAGTCATTTCAGCACTCACATTTTTTTATTTCTATAAACATAGTTTTGTTGTGACTCTAGAAACATCTGCAGTTTGGTCTTCCTGTAGCCTGGTAAAAACCAGACCCTTGTCCTTCACTTTGGGGAAACTAGAATTGAGCGGAACTGCGTAGGAAGGAAAGGGCCAGGCTAGTCCTCCTGCTGTGATTAGATACTTTTTTTGACCATACAGACAATGACAGCCCTGTAGGTTTATCTGCAGAAAAGTATGTGAAGTTGTTTCTTCATGTGGAAAAAAATCTATAACGCAGGAATGACCTCTAAACTCACCTTGTTTAGAGAAAAGTGAAGACGCATCAGGAGCCATTTTAGATGTTTTCTTCATCTGAAACACTGAAAATAGACAGAAGCTGTGAAAATCACTTAACTACCACTGATATTCTTCTGTAACTGTGTCTGTCCTACACCAGATGGAGCCATAAACTCAATTTAAAACCAAGTTCCTGATATATTGACTAACTTCAGATCTACTTTAAATCATAGTTACTTAGAAATGATAGATTTTTCTTATATCATCTTGCTGTTTTAAATGATTGTTGAACAAAATTAACATAATTATGAATTATTTTAAAGTGCCTATAACATCAAATTTTTGTAATGAATTGGTATGTATTTTTTGGAAAGATAACATTAATTAGTGTGTTGCAAAACAAATTTTACGCCACTGAGACAAACCGTTCTTGAGATATTCACATGYGGAGTAACAGGAAGTGATGTCAAAGGGGAACGTGAGCAGAATATCGCTACAATAATAACAAACTGTGGAGAAGAATGGTGTTTCTCTAGATTATTTAAAGTCACTATCAGCGAGAAGAGTCAGAGTTCAAATAATATTGTTTCAATAAAAAAAGACCAGAGAGTTTCTTTTTTTAATGAATTCCCCTTTGATGTCACTTCCTGTTTCGCTTTGGCTGAGCCAATTTCAAAGGAAAATCTGTGAGTAATGCAACAAAATGTGTAAAATCATGCGCATTTTGTCGAGTTTCTTAAATTTAAAGACGTTTTCTTTGACTTTTTGTATTTGAAGGATATGCATGTCACAGGCACTTTAATTTATGTTAATCCAATAATGACTTTGTCGGCTGTGAGCTGTCGCCCTGTTTGGACGCCATCTTTGCTCCTCCATGTGGTCACAGATGCAAACAGTGGACAGTATAGACGGGGCTCGGTCTAGTGATGTCATAAAACACCCTACTACCAATATACCCACTGTCCCTCCTCTGGACATGTCCAAACCATCTCACTTTGTCTTCTGGTGCTGCTCCTCTGATGGTCTCAGTCCTAATCTAATCCGTCCCCGTCCCTCCCAAGGAGGACCTCAACATCTTCAGCTCTGCCACTTCCTGTTCTGTCTCCTGTCTTCTTGTCAACGTCTCCACACCAAACGTAGCTTGGTGTCACAGCTCTCTTTGACCTTTGCTGCCGCCATTTTGTCCCCAATCCTTCCTGAAACGCTGAAATGCTTTAAACACAGAACCGATACGAGGATCAGTGTGGTTCCCTYCAAAGAACCACATTTTATTCACGTTTCAGCTTTTAACAGAAGGAGCTTTATTTCCACTTGAGTTTCTCTGATAACTGGCTCCTCGCCCGAGTCCTCCACCGTCTCCTCTTGGCGAGGCGGCAGAACGAAATCCTCGTGCGGTTTTTGAAGCTCCGCTCTCTCAGTAGATGAAAACCTCTCTCTCTCTCTCTCCCTCCCGTACGCTCCGGGCCGGGGACAGACGAGGACGATGGAAAACACGTGTAATGACTTATTCTGGCTGACTTGGCCTTGRTTCGGACAAGATTGGTTGCAGATGGGAGCTCCCTCTCCGTTTACGGAGGGGACGGTTTGGAGACGGGGCCTACGGCGGAGGACTCAGATCCTTGTTTTGCTTCRTAAGCCCTGCTGGGACGAGGACTGGCCCACAAAACGCCTGCACACTCGAGGATAAAAGAAAGAGAGCGTTTACTGTCCATTAGCCAAAAGGCAAAAATAGACCATTATGCTCACAGGAGTGTTAGTAAAATATCTTAAATCGTTGTGTTCTAAAGACCCTTAGTGATTGGATGTATGCTCCTTCAGGAGTCGACCCAATTCAAGATGGCCACCATTTAATAAAAACACAAAAATGGATTTAACTCAGATAATTTTGTAGATATTGTGGTAGTAGCTGAAGATCCTTCTCAACACAGACTCTGAAAGTGACGTTCTCCTTTAGGGAACTCTAAACCTTTCTGTTTTGAATGGAGGTGTCGGTATGAGACGGGTGTAATGATGTTTGTGCAAACAACAATTGATTCTGGAGGCCTGCGTGTTTTCGGCTACTTTAATGATTCATAAGCCGTAATAATACMGGCCACTTTTGGATCTTTCAGCCTCATGAAATATTCAGGCGAGCTGAAATTGAACAGTTGGGAGAACTCGCAGCCAAACGAGTCTTTGTCTGCCCTCGCTCCGTTTTGTTTGTTTGTTTGTTTGTTGTTAGTTTAGGAAATCAAAACAAACGTGTAGAAAAGCTTATCGCTCTGTTCAGTAGCAGTAAAGCTGTAGCTCTTCCAGGACCTTAAACCTGCGGCTCGTTTTTACTCGGAGCATCTCGGCTGCAGCTGAAGTTTTATTATCTGTTATCAGCTGTTGGTCTTTAGTGGGATGACAAACAGCTGAAGGAATGAAGAAGCTAAAACTACATTGTTAAAGTTAAAGGCAGCAAAACACTAGCTAAAAGCTAAGAAATCTATATCTATCTAATAAAATAATCTAAACACAAGCCAAAAGAATATAACACTAGCTAAAATAATCTAAACACTAGCCAAAAGAATATAACACTAGCTAAAATAATCTAAACACTAGCCAAAAGAATATAACACTAGCTAAAATAATCCAAACACTAGCTAAAAGCTAAGAAAATCTATATCTATCTAATAAAATAATCTAAACACAAGCCAAAAGAATATAACACTAGCTAAAATAATCTAAACACTAGCTAAAAGAATACAACACTAACTAAAATAATCTAAACACTAGCTAAAAGAATACAACACTAGCTAAAATAATCTAAACACTAGCTAAAATAATACAACACTAACTAAAATAATCTAAACACTAGCTAAAAGAATACAACACTAACTAAAATAATCTAAACACTAGCTAAAAGAATACAACACTAACTAAAATAATCTAAACAGTAGCTATTAAAAATCTAAAACTACCTAAAAGCTAAGAAAATCCAAACGCCAGCTGAAAGAATCCTAATGCTAGCTAAAGGTGTCTAATAAATAAAATAATCTAAACACAAGCAAAAATAATCTAACACTAGCTAAAATAATCTAAACAGAAGCTAAAACAATATAACTAGCTAAAAGAATCTAAACATCTAAACAAATCTAACACTAGCTTGGAGTCTCAACACTAGCTAAAATGTATATACTAGCTAAAAGCGTCTACAAGATAAAATAATTTAAACAGCTAAAAGCTAGAATAAGCTAAACACTAGCTAAAAGAATCCAATAACTAGCTAAATTTAGAAAAAGACAAGCCGAAGTATAAAAGTAACAAAAGCCTAGCTAGCTAAAATGTAAAAGAAGCAAAACAGCAGTTAATAGCTAAAAGTAGCAGGATTTTAACTAAAAGCTAAAAGTAGTCAAATGTTAGCCTAAAAATAACAAAATGCTAGTTCAAAGTTTCACACAGCTTGCTAAAAACTAAAAACAACAAAATGCTAGCTAAAGCAAGAAGTACCATAATGGAAGCTAATAGTTATGTATCGAAGGAGAAGCTAAAAGCTAAAAATAGCAAAATGCTAGCCTGGAAGTACTAGAAAGGTAGCTATAAGCTACAAGTATCAAATAAGAAGGTGAAGGCTAAGAGTAGCAAAAGGGTAGCTAAAAGTAATGGTAAAAGCTTTAAAGAGGTCAGTATATTTTTATGGTTAGATATTTGTAAATAAAATGAAATACCTTGTAAAATATAAAAGTATAAAAACACGTGGGTACCTTGGGCGATGTAGGGGGTTTTGCACGGTTTCGCCTTCATGCACTCAGGCCTGGGAGTCGGCTCCGGCGGGCGGTTAGCCATGACCATGGCCTCCTCTGGGTTCTGATCGGGGTTAGAGCCATCTTTCTCCCCCAGCTGTGTGTACACATCATCGTCCTCCCGCTCTTCATCCTCACCTTGCTGCTGCTGTTTGTTTGCACCTGTGAGACACAGAGTGAGTCGTCCTGCTTCCTGAGCTGTTGTTTCACAGGTGACAGGAAGTACATCTTTGACAGACACTTTCATTACAGACGTTCCTTCGTCTTCCTCGCTCACCTGCGTTGCACATCATTTCGTACACGCTGCCGTCCACGTCCTCGCCAGAGCTGAACATCCTCTGTAACGACAGGGTAAGAAATATGCTTTACAGAGGTTTTTCTGTAAAGCTGTGACACAAAGCATGTGGTTTTTTCCCCCTCTTTAACAACAGCGCTGCTGCAGAGTATTTGCTAATTGTATACTGGGAGACAGACAGGGCCATGATCAGGGTGATTATGAAATCAGACAACCTTCCCCTTTCAGTTCAAACGTATCATTTAGGAAACGACACCAAGACCCCTGGCTTCATGTCAGACTGCAACCAGAATTAGACCGATGGACAAAAGGATCATTTACTGTCAACATTCAGGCATCGTCTAAAATAAAATAAAATTAAAACCGAGTGCTCCTCCAAGGAATACGTATCCTTTCATACCAGGGTTTTAAAATCATATAATCTAATGGTAAAGTTATCCCATTACTGACACAGTCCTACAAAAAATGCCAGCTAAAAAACTAAAAGAAGCAAAAAGCTAGCTGAAAATTCCAGAAGCTAGCTTAAAGTAAAGCCGATAAAAGTAGCAAACCTGTAGCTAAAAGCTTAAAGTAGCATGCTAAGTACTAAACCACAAGCTAAAAGTAATAGAATGATGGTTAAATTATAGGCGCAGAAAAGACAAGATAAAGGCTGTGTCCAAAACGACAGGCCGGGTCCTCCGGAGGACCCAGACTCCCCGGTCGCGGCGGGCCGGGTCCTAGGTAGACCGGTAAGACCGGAAAAAAAGAGGCTGTGAATTTGGACGGTCTAGCCTCCACTCCTTACCCCGGCGTACGTCATGTCACCTAGCAACTGTGACGACGCTAAACAAGCAAACTTAAATCAAAATTAGAAAAATATCAATACATTAGCATTATTAATATAACAAAACTATAAAATGAACTTAAAGGTATCATTTGAAGAACTAATTGACCCGCTGTGGGTTCATGTTTATTTCGCGTTTTTATGACGAAAAAATAATATTTAAAAACATGTCTATACAAATGATAAAAACCGCTAAATTTTTTAAATTTTTATATCACCATATTTTTATTTAAAATGTATTCTTTTGTCTCGCTTCATCCGCCATTACTAGCATAAAAAAATCACCGGTCGGGCCGCAATGCATTATGGGATACGCTGGGCCGGGAAGGATCCATCAGACCTGTCCTTCGATTCGGGCCAAAGGAAGGACGTATTTGTCGGCCGCATCGGAGGAGTCTTCGGTTTTGGACGTCCTTCGTCGCGGCGCTGTGACGTATGCGGCCGACAAATTCGACCTTCGGAGGACCCGGCCTGCTGTTTTGGACACAGTCCCGGTCTAAAAGTAACAAAAGCTTAGCTAAAAGCTTAAAATAGCAAATATGCTAGCCAAAAGAAAAAAAACTCTTAGCTAAWATCTAAAAGTAACAAATGCTAGCTTAATTTTCAAAAGTAAAAAAAAAGAATAGCTAAAAGATAAAATAAGCTTTAGGCTAGCTAGGTATCTAAAAGTAGAAACAAATTTGTAGCTAAAAGCTGAAAGTAGTACGCTAAAAGTACTAAACTACAAGTTGTAATTATAAACTGATAGCCAAAATTCAGTAGCAAAAGACAAGCTAAAATCTAAACGAACAAAAGCCTAGCTAAATGCTTAAATAGCTAATGGCTAACTAAAAGTAAGAAATGGTTATCTAAAATCTAGAAGAGGCAAAGGTTAGCTAAAAACTCAAAGCAGCAAATGGCTAGCTAAAGCTAAAAATGGCAAATCATTACCTAAAAGTAGAAAAAAAGCAACTGAAATGTAAATGTAACAGAAGTGTACCTGTTGTAAAAAGGAAGGAATAGTAGCTAGAAGCTAAAATTAGCTACATTTAGTTGTTTTCTTTTAGCTACTCTCTTCTGAAKGAGTCACAAAAAAGAGTAAAACCTTTTATTTTTATTAAAATCCATGCAGTCAGTTAAATATTTTTATAAAAGATGGAGGAAGTCTCAGATCTCCACTTGTTTAAACTCTGAATGATGTGTTTATTAGTTAAATGCAGCAGCTAAAACACTTTCCACAGAGGCAAGTTTCGGCCACGGAGGACTCCTGAAGATAATTTAACTCTGAGTTAATTTATATTTTCTCAGTGCGGTGGCAGCTGTAGGAATCTGCAGAACGCACCACATATTGCTCACTTGGATGAAAATATCACCATCCAGCTCCGCTCCATCGTTTCTAAGCAACACGGCCTATCGTGACTCAATTACTGCCTTGTACCGTTCCCAGAACTGCAAATGAGCCATTGGCCACCATGAATGCATTAATTGACAGTTGAGATTCTTCGACGGCCCAACAGGTTCGGGGAGAGACTTGTTTACCACTGCTACAACTTTCAAATTTAATAGAAAAGGCCACACGCTAAAAACTCCTATTGAGGGAGGGGGTTTTATTTACTTACTGCAAACGTTAAATAGTTTTACAGATGTACAGTCAAATTTAACAATCAAAACACAAAGAGAATAAAAGCAGAAGGAAAGTTTGTGAAAATAACCCAAGTAAATTCAGAGTAAATTTATTTTTGTAGCTGAAACACTCAAGCTTCGGCTATGTGTTTTTTTAAATAAAGTGGCATTTTTACACGAATAAGGGATTTTTTTTCTAGTAAATCTCTGTTTAAAAAAAAAGCCTTTTTTGAAAAAAGATTTGCTTCTCTTCCAAACACCTTCAAGCTTTAAACAGCAGCAAGTTGTGCTGTTTGCACCTGAACTCACATGCAAATCACTGTCCCCTTTCTCCCTCCTGAGGGTCGTTAATAGCATCCTGGTCTACAGATATTTTCATCTCATGTTTGGTGTAATTTGGTATTTTGGTGGGCAGTGTTCTGCTAACGGCTAATAGCAGAACTAATTTTTCATTTAGTGGATTAGCTTTTTTAATTAGCAGACCAATTAGCTTCCTCTAAATTAACTTTTGCCACTTGTAGATCTGCTAACAGCTAAACTATCAATTTAATATCAACAGGTTTGTCAGTCCCACCGATCTTCAGCTGGAAGGAGAYGAAGATCTGAGATGCAGACTGAGTAACAGTGGTCTTTAGAGATTAGCAGTTAATGTTGTCTTCAGCAAAATTTTACTTGTTGAGCTCTATACTGTTAGCTTCTGCTAATTTTCACTTGTTGAACTCTTTGCGTTAGTTCTGCTAATATTTACTTGTTTAGCTCTTTGCGTTAGCTTATGCTAATTTTCACTTGTTGAGCTCTTTG